TTGACTAGATACTAATTTAATATCTTCTTTATCAGCTAAACTATATATCATTTTTGAATATGATCATAATACACGCTCTGACATCAATGTGATTAACATTCTTTTTTGTTTTTTATTTTTTCAATTTATTAAAGAAACACCACAACTGTTCTTCGTATTTCTGATTATTTGTTAAGAGAAAAAAAAGACTTAGTACATTATTTTAATCAGAACTTTATTTGATTTAAATATAGCTGAAACAAAAAATAATAATGCATTGTCAAATTTTTCAAACATATACAATGAGCAACACTTGAAAATACAATGTTCGATTGTTAAGAGATGCATGTACGAGCGATAAAATTGACTTATGGATTGATCTTTTTAAGCATTTTTGTTGTTGTTGTATTCTAGAAAAGATATCAATCCAATGATATTGATTATTATCACATATATTTTAACATTACTGGATATTTTCTTTGTTGAATCAAGTCATTTCTCTGGTGGCACTGTAACATGGAAACCTATAGCTAATACAATTACTGGTTCAACAGTTTCTGTGATGTTTACACAATCATATCAATGGCGACTATCAACAGCCGGATATTGTAACCAAACTTATATTGTGAATAGATCACCTCTAATTCCATCAATGAGTGGTATACTTGCTTGTGTATCATCTCATACTGGTTTCTGTGGTGGCTATAGTTCAATGTCTATTTTTGAATATTGTACCGATTATAGCACATTCCTTGACTCAAGTTCAGGTCAAATTTCAACAGTTCAAACTATAACGATTGGTTCGCAGTTTTGTGTCGCATTTCAAAGTGGAAGTTGGATTCCTGTGCAAGTGGCATGTGCATCAAGTACAGGTAGTTGTTATAATGGTGGTGCTAGCTGGTCGATCGGTACTTGTCTCGATTTAAATATTAGATACGATGGTGTTATTAATACACCACCAGTTGCAACAGTTGTCTCACGTATGTAATATATAATAGATTATTTTTAGAATCTAATCGACTTTTCAGTCTGTTTTTATGTTGTTGCAAGCAAAGAGAAGTTTATCTGATTAAGATTGTTATACATAATCAAAATTATTCGTTTGAAAAAAACTCCTATGCTGCACTTATTAATAAATAAAAATGATTTTTTGCTTTAGTAATTTAACAATAATACGACTTCCTATCTATGATAATTAAAACTAACAATTTAGAATTTCATGTGCAATATTAATTATTTCTGTCTGCATAAAAACATGATGATGTAGACTGAACAAAGTCTAAAAAAAATAAACTATAATTTTATAGAGAACGCTTAATTAAATTCTTGTTTCTTCATGAAAAGATAATTTTTTTTTGTGTGTCTTTTTCGTTAGCTATAAATGTACCTGTCAATTCTGTAGTCAATATTGATATTCCAGTGACTGATGCTAACAATGATGTAATACGGTAACTTATTTTTTTTACATTAAATATCAGATAGTGGTTATTTCTATTTCAGTTGTCGTTGGGCTCAGTTGACAACATCATTGGATGAATGTGCTGGTGTCTGTGGAGTAGCAGCTGGTAGTACTCTCAATAGCAACGATTGCAAACTAACATTCAATAGCACAGGAAAAACTGTTGGAGACTATTATGTAGTTGCTTTAATGGTTGAAGATTATTGGACATCATCATCATACTTGCCATTTAGTAGTATTCCATTACAATTTCTAATTAAAATTGTTAGTAAACCTAGCTGCTTCACAAAGCCGAAGATTAACTCCAGTTTACAAGAGTGTACTGCTATTACTGTTGGAGTTACATTTACATTCACATTGACAATCATGCAAGGATGTGTAAACACAACAATTGGTGATATATACAGAATACCACCTTTGAACATGTATAAAAGTGAGATAAGCCCTGCTGACTCGATCAATGCATGGATTATGAATGAAACATGGATACCAACTGTTGACCAAGTTGGATCTCAAGTTTATTGTGCTATTGCAACTGATAGGTATCAAAGAATCATATTCCATAAAAAAAATTTTGAAAATTTACCTTCACTTAGTAATTATATACAATCAGAACAATATTGCTTGACATTTACGGTGGTATCCATTGGACAACCACTTACCTGTAATTATAAACTAAAGAATGTGTTTTTTTTTAATTTGACCTCCAATCTATACTTTAGGCCCAACAAATTCTATATCGAACAGAACCACAGTGTAAGTTGTTATGTTTTGAAGAGCAACAATCAAAAATATTTTTGTATTTTATTTTTCTTATGATAGAACTACAACGACTTCAACGTATGAAGCAATGCAAAGTATTTAACATCTATCTTATTATTTTGATTTTATTTTGTACAGGGTGGTAAATAATATTATTCCAGGGGGGTAACAGTATGATCTCGAATCGGAGATATCATGAATTTTATACCAAATGAAAGCCCGTGAAAAATGGGGTTTAGTGATAGTAAATAGTAAGACTTTGAAGAACTTTCGTGTACCAAATTTTTAAAAACAACGAAATTTTCTTTCAAAAACACGTTAAAAATCATTTTTCATACATTTTGAGACATTGAAAACGAACATTTTTTATGAAAACGAAAGAGAAATGATAACGATGATGATATATGACTATGACTCACACAATAAGATGGTTCTTTGGCGTTCTGTTCTTCTCTCCACGTGATACTAGTTATTTGAAAAATTTTTTCGTTCTCGGACTGTCTGAAAGTTATAGTCGAGTGAAATCTCAGTGTTTTTTCGTTTGTTATTTCAAATGGCTGGCGCTTATGATACCGAACAACAAAGAATGATTGATAGAATTAAATGCATTACTTTCCGAGAAGCTCGTGATGCTGGTGCAACATTTATAAATAGACAATGGATTGCCGACAAAATTCACCGTACGACTCGATTTGTTACAGAATGGTGGGAAAAATCGTGTGACCAATGTTTTGCTGATTATTCGAATGCTGGTCCTAAACTCAAGTTATCGAGAGCTGCTCAGGACATTATTCGTGAAGCAAGTGGTCACCAACGGAAAAGCGGTTCTGTCGTGGCGAAAGAGATTGCAAAGAAACAAAAAGAATATGTTACTCGACAAACAGTTAACAACTACCGTCGTAGGGAAGGATTAAAGCCTTTTCATGTTATTTCAAGACCGTTAAAATCTGAAACTCATATATCAGATCGATTATGGCTCTGTGATTGGTTGAAAGATTGGACTGAAGAAGATTTTCTTCATCTGGCACCATCAGATGAATTTTATGTTTGGACAGTTCGCAAACCAAATTATCAAAATGATAGGATTTGGGCAAAAAGTGTTGAAGATATTGAAGACGATGAAAGGTATCGCGAAATGGTTAAAAACCAAGCGTGTATCGGTATTTTTATCATTTTCACCGCGAAAAAAATGCATTGGGTGATTAAAGACAAAGGTGAATCTTGGACCGGTCAATATTTTCGTGACATTATTTTAATGCAACACGTATTTCCATTCCTCACCGACGAGGAAAACGTAATTGATCTGGATAATGTGATATTTGTTCACGATAAAGCACCGTGTATGCGAGCAAACATGACTCAACATCTGATTAGAGATAACAAAATCGAGTTTTGGGGCAATGATATTTGGCCTGGTAATTCGCCCGATCTCAATGCGGCGGAACATATTGGATCAATAATGAAAGATGAAGTTGAACAAAAAA